GTGGAGAAGAGGGACAGGGTCAGATTCAAGAGTAACACTGTAGTATTTAGTTTCGTTGTTTGCTAAGTGAAATTATAGGCAGCAAGGGGAAAAATAAATGAAGCGAAGAGCATGAGTTGTCACTTCTAAGCACTGTTGTAGGCACTCCACAAAATACATGCTTTATGTCTTTTAAACAAAGTAGGCTATTAAGTGTGCAATGCTAAGAGGAATTTTATCTCACCTATAAATACAAGTGAATCTTTTAAGCTCCAAATCCCCATATACAGACAATTTACTGTGGTAATCAAGACGATGCACACAATTTAACTTCAGTACCATCTGTAACTCTATTGGTATTTTAATAATAATGAATAAAAATATATGTTGGCAACAAAAAATGTTACTTAAAGTAGAATCATTGTAAAGAGTCAATGATAATTTCTAAAAAGCTGTGTAAATATCATATTTACTCAGAATTCTCTTTTGTGTCTTTACCTTTTAATTAATGTGAAAGGAGACCTTTAGTATTTAATGGCACACATATATTGAAGAATAAATTATCCCCACTTCTTCTGACTGGAAAAATGAAAACAAAATGCTTGAGTATCCATGGTAATATTAATAAGGAAATGAATAAGCTTCTTTTATTTTTCTCTTCTTATCTTTTTTTCATTTGTCTTTCTTTTTGTGATTATTTGTTTGACTTTTTTTTCCTTTGGCAGGGAGGGGACGTAGAACAGACTGTTGAAGGAAGACATAAGGAAGATAAGAAAAATAGAGAAGAAATTCAAATTTTGGGAAAAAGTGTCAGACTCTTCTCCATCAATGCTTTTCTGTTGTCCAAGAAATAAAACTATGTCCTTCCTGTTGCAGGAAAAAGTCATCAATTAAAAACTTATTATGAAAAATAATATAAGTAATGGTTACCTGTCTTCCGCTGTTGTGGCCGGCAACTGGCCTGGTATTTAACCTTGAACAGCAAGGAAACCTGAGTTTTGGTCCAGGCTGGTCCAGTGATTAACAGAATAATCCTGAGCAATCTCCCTATACCCTAATACCATCATTTATAAAGTGGAGGGCTTGTATTTCACAATTTCAGAGGTTTCTTCTGCTTCTGAAGCCCTCCCAGTCTCTGAATGCAGGCTAAGTCATATGCGGATAGGACTGGGCCTGGGCGTGTTCAAACACCTACTGAATGGGAAGAACTAAGGCACTTTTGGTCAGATCTGAAGGTGTGGATTTTTATCTGAAGGGCAAGAGGGAAAGAGCCTCAGTTGCAGCAGATACTGCAGGCAATTCATGTGTTGTTTCATGTTTTCATTCTGCACTCTATAATTAAAAGGGGACACTTTTGCATTTATTCTTATTCCCCCTTTAGAATGGTTATATGGCGGGATATGATAGGGATGACTCTTTATTTTGCAGACAATAGGAATGAAGCTTAGTGTACCTGAATGTATTATCTGGAACCACTGAGTCAAGAGAGGAAACAAATCTAGGAATGGAGATCTCACAGCTCTGGCCCTCTGGGTAGTTCCCACTATCCCAGCCCATCCCAAATCACAAAACAAAACAAAGCAATAAAAGACTAATTATTGTTTTCATTTATGCTAGATCATGCCTCTTCTGCTTCAAGAATAGGACACGTTTGAAATAATACGCACTATTGAATTTAGAGTGGCTCTATGGGCAGACGCTCAATTCCCAGTGACTAGGCTAATGTGATGAGAGGCCGGCTCCGTTCTCCGCTAAGGCGAGGTTCTCATTGTTGTTCACGTCACATGGAGGTGACAGAGGGAGTGACCTATCTGCTCTGGGGAGCGTTTCCTTCTTTCTGACTTGAAATCTTCCCATTGTTATCACTTTTGGGAACAGGAGATCAGAAGTACAGATATGTCCTCTAAAAGCCACTGTTCCAGTGCATGTGGTCTATGAGGAAAGGTGTCCCAAAAAATCTCCTCCACATCTTTCCATCTGCATAGATCATTTTTTATGGATTTCCTGATTTCCAAAATGGGACAACTGTCCCCAGAAACTGAGATACAAACCAGGGACCTTTCAGAGATGGGAATGGGCTATGGGGAACAGGGCAGCTGTTGCCGCAGGTGAATGGGCTTGGGGGCTCGGTTCTCCCTGGGGTGGGCGCCTTGCGAAGGACAGAACCACACAGAGCTGGAGGAATTGAAACACCACGTGCCTGGACGTCTGCAGGGCTGGGGGCCATTTTCCTGGCTTGGATGTGACGTTGCTGAAAAGCTCCTAAATTTCCCCTGGGTTTATGTATTTGTTTACATCTCTGTATTTCTCAATGGCCTGTGAGCTCCTTGAAGCCTGAGACCCTATTTTACTCAGTCTATCCCCAATCTCTCTCTGAGGACAAGCACAGAGTGTGGCTTTAGAAATATTTGTCAGACTGAATTAAGTAGGAATGATTAGGTCACGTCTACTTCTACTGTTCATTCCATGGTCATTTCAACAACTTACATTTTACCCAAGGACTACTATAATAAGAGGAGAAAAATTAAATGTGAGTTTTTCTTTTTCTTGAGTGATGTGTGATTGTGTTAACTTAAAACATCTGCAGGGGTACAATGGATTCTGCTACGACATAATATATGCTTTTGTAAAAATACCTTGCTAATTGCACAACAGAAATCTTACAAGAAAAAGTTTAGGAGACAAGTAGGGTTAGGGGCACGGGACTAAAAAATGTCACATAAAATACTATAAGAACCTAATAAAAATGGTAGCACACTTTTACATATGTTAAATATTAAGATATACATGTATCTGCAACTTGCCTGGGGAACAGAAGGGCTGTGATTTACTGTGCAGGGGTGGAGAAAGTCTCATATGAAGTGGGAACAGCATTCTGACCACAGACGAGGATGGGCGAGGCTGATAACACGGCCACGTTAGGTCATGTTGATGGCTAAGGTGTCTGTGTGGGAACACTTTGCATGTTCTGGCAGGTCTCATTTGTCTGGGTACGTCTGATGTTTCTTGATGACAAAACAGGCATAAGCAAACGCAAGATTGGCATTATCAAATTGTTTCCTAATATATAAATAGTGTAACAAATTTGTGTCTTCAGACAAGTGCTTTAAAGCGTGTACACACCTCCTCCCACCTGCCTCTTACTCCAGGATAAAGTGGCACCGAGCTCTGCTTTCTATTCGCAGAGCGTGACTTCTGAGGTGTCACTGCTGTGATTATTATGCAATTCTTCTTCAGCGAGGATCTGGCTCTGTTTTGTATTTCTCAAATACTTCAAAATATTTTTCAACATTTGTGTTTGGGAAAAACTCAAAATATACTTTGCCAGTTGATTTTTTAACATACTTAACAAACAAGAATTTAATCCTTATGTTTCTGATTAATTTTCCTGCAATTAGCTGAAATACCACTCTCTGAGAATTTGCTGCATAAACAAGCATAATCCTATGTAAATGTTCTTCTTAAAAAAATGTCAGATCAATTCTTCCTGAGAGCCTTTATCACCACGAGGTTTACTTTCAAACTGAATGGCACATTTTAAACTCTTTTGAATGAGGTATGTCTAGATTTCATGAAGTCATTTTTCAATGTCCTATAGGATTAAGTGTGTAAGAAATGAAAAATAGAAATGATTGTTGGTACTATTATGTTGACTGATTGATTGATTGGTCCCTTCCTTCCTTCCTTCTTCACTCACCATCCCATTATTTCAAGAAACCTTTTTTGAAGGCCTACTGTGTACCAGATTCTCTGCTAGTGTTCCACAAAGAGAGTGCCACCTAGTAGAAGATACAAGATAAGAGAATTTTTACATAAATAGATTGTGAACTGTCTTAGTTCATTTTGTGCTGCTATAACAGAATGCCTGAGATTAGGTAATTTTAAGGGACAAAACCATATTGGCCCACAGTTCTGAAGGCTGGGAATTATAATATCAAGGTATCGGCCTCTGGTGAAGATCTTGCTGCATCATCTCATAGTGAAAAGCAAGGGAGGGGGAGAGAGAGAGAGAGAGAGAGAGAGAGAGAGAGATTATTCTCCTGAAGGCTTTTTTATTGTGTCATTAATCCCAACTCAACAAGGCTGAAGCCCTCATGGCCTAATCTTATATCTTAAAGGGCCCACTTCCTAATACTGTCACAATAACAATTAAGTCTCAGCATGACTTTGGAGGGGACAAACATGCAAACCAAAGCACCATTATGTGAAGTGTGAAGGGAAAGGTCCTTTACAAGAGAGTGGATGGTCAGGGCATCAGCATCAACCTGGAGGGCCATATCTGTGGTTTCAAGACCAGCAGCTCTGCCCATGGTCCATGCTGCCCCACATTTGGGTGTCATTAAAGAAGCCTTAGAAAGCATGTTTACCACATTTAGGGAAGGCTCGACAGGTAGCTATGGAAGTGAATATCAAATTCAAGACTGTACGAGATCTGAGATTATTCTCCATTGCTTTGTAGAATAGGAATAAGTTATTAGGATAGTAACTTGTTTTCCAAAGACTTTCACACAACTAGGAGCAAGACATTCTAAATTATCCTATTCCTCTAAATACAATGACTATGAGAGTCCTCAGGGATTGATGCTGGCAGAGTAGGTAAACAACACTTTTCCCCTTAATAATAATCCTTCTTATACAACCAGCTCAACAGTAGTAATTTGAGGCTTTGCTCAAGTGGTAGATGAAAGGAATGGATGGGTAGCTGGGATTCTGAGTCACACACGCCTGGGTGAGAATCTCGGCTATAGTATTTTCTAGTATCCTGACCTTGGACATATTACTTGGTTTCTAGGAACAACATTTCCCCATCTGTGAAAGAAAGTTATAACTGTCCTTCCAGGTTGTTGTAAGGAGTAGATACAACAACACAAGGTGGCAAATAGTACCTGACTTTCTTTAGAGCAGGTGGTTAATAAAAGATGGTAGTTAATGTTAGGACTTCTCTCTTAACAGAATATTTTTTTGCTAATTGAATCTGGTATCTTTCTCCCCCCTTCCTCCCTTCCTCCCAATTATTTTAGACAACTGTGATGATCCGCTAGCATCCCTGCTCTCTCCAATGGCTTTTTCCAGTTCCTCAGACCTCACTGGTACTCCCAGTCCAGCTCAACTCAACCTGAGAGTTGGTAAGTAGGGTGACCAAAATCCTAAGTCGTGTGCTACATAGCCATGCAGAGGGTAGATGGAAGGAAATGCACACTTCCATACACTGGGATCATGTCCAAGGGCAGTGTTCATAGGGAGATTTTGGGAGAGGGGAGTTATGGCCATATTTCCCATCACATATTAAAGTACGTGGACTCATGGTCCCTGTACCCACAGAAGTCCTTTTTTGATTATCATAAGAGGCCTTTGTGAAAATTACTTCTTAAGAAAGCATCTGCTTTATTTTCACATGTCATGTATCTAACATAGGTTACCAAAACATATTACTGTGAAAATATATTTATAATAAGAATAAAGTTGATTAAAATTTTCCTTCAATAACTTTAATTTTATTAAAAATCAATATTGCTGATTTTTAAAAATATACAACATGCTATTAACTAAAAGTAAGAAAGTATAAATAATTTGTTATTCTACCAGCTAGAGATAAATGTGATTAAGTGTCTGGTATGTAGTTTTACAACTTGTGATAGAAGCAAGAGTACACAATCTTAACTGGTCTCTCATAGGAAATGTCTTTAACAAATATGATGTTGGCTTTCCAGACATATATTTAACCTAATTTGGATGTTGACTTTCATAATGTACAGATGTAATGTATAATTTCTCTTACTAAGAAAGATAGATTTGAATTATTTGACTTTTAAAGATTTTTTAGATATTTCACAATATTTGAACATCTGTTAAATATTATAAACTTTTTAGGTCGAGAAAAATCATATATGCAATTTTATGAGATCCAATTGCCAATTAGAGTTTATATTAATTAGTCTTTGCTATATTTTCCATTGATATATTAGGCCGATGACAGTAGATTTTTCAAAGTTAATCAATGTTTGCATTCAGGAATCAGATGTAATTGGTTGTTGTGTTATTGATATTTTTTACATACTGAATGATTTAGTTTGTTATCTCTTTAATTTATAATTTTGAATCTTTATTAATAATAAAATTGATTTGTAGTTTTCGCTTATATGTTTGTTTTTTGTTTTATACTATATGTTACAGGTTTTCTATTAAAAGGGAATCAGTAACTTAAAAGCTAGCAAGTTCCACTGTGTTTTTGAGCAAGCCCATTAAGAGTGGTATTCTAAATGAAAAAGAAAATGGCCAGAGACCCAGCAGGAGGATATTAACAACAATTTTGTATCAATATTGTCCTTTGCTGGATATTCTGTGCCAAAAACTTTTATTAAGCATTTTACTTTTATTGTGGTATTTAAAAAAGTCACTGTAAGGGGATCATCATTGCCTTTTACCTTCAGGTAGGGAATCCAAGGCTCAGAGAAGTTACATATTTTTCCACGACCACAGAGGTGAGAAGGGGAAGTTCTTGGATTCAAAGCTAAGTCATGTGAATCCAAAGTTCACGTTTATAATTACCACATTAGCAACTTGACCCACTAGGACAAGTTGAAGAGGGGAGTAGTAAAAAGAAAAGAGACTTAGAAACTAATTATTCTGTTCAAATACTAGTTATAACATTTACACACTCTGTGTCTGAAAGTCACTTACCTCTCCCGGCCTTCAGTGTTTTAATCTGTAAAGAGGCCCTGTAACGCCTGCCTTCCCCACTCTGTGCAGACTGGGCACAGACGTGTGTATTCTAAATACTTCTTTCACTGCAGGACAGAGAACTGAACCAGAGCAGGACGCCTGTTTTTCATTTCGGAAAGAAATAAGGTTGGCGGATATTAATATGATCTTCAACAGGGCTTCCAGAGACAGACTTTGTCTCAATCCCACCCAAAATGTGTGGCAGCAGAAAGTCATTACTGCCCAGTAGCTCATTGGCATTTTCTGGGGAAGCCGGGTCGGTTCACAGCCAGCTCCCTTCCTAGTGAGCAGGTACTGACTGAGTACAGGTGTCTGCACTCTCATTTCTTATCATCATTCTGCTCACTGGGGAACCTGGGTGAGTGAGCCCAGGGCTGGCTTGACCGTGAAGAGAGGAGGTTGACTTCTCTTCTCTCTACCAGCTAGAGTCCAAATCAGGACGGCCAAGCGGAAGACACAGTCGTACAGTAGGAGGCACTGTCCTAGAACTCTTCCTCTAGCACATCATCCAATGTGTGGACAGCCTCTCCTTCATTCATTCCAAGGTGTGGACAGCCTCTCCCAACCACTGCCCTAATGGGAGAAAACACTGGCTCAGGGAGGTGTTAGATCACTGGTTCTCCAAATTGCCTGGAGAGCTTTACAGAGAGCATGACCTGAGCCATCGCACAGATACTCTGAATTAATTGTCTGGGATGGGACCTGGCAAGGATATTGACACAGTAAATTTAAGAAAAGCTTCCCCTGTCATACTAAAATGAAACAAGAGTTGCAAACAGCTGCATTGGGTGAATTCATGAATGACAAATCCTTCCATTAATAATTATCGAGCTAACACTGTGTTACAACCCTAACACATCACTGGCAAAAATAGTCACAAATACTATTCATAAGGAGTTGACAAGGATAATGTAAATGATCATGTCATTACAAACTGTAATACTAACAGCTAACAGTTGTCATTAGTAATAATTGATATTATTTTGTTATGTATGTGTACATATACATGTGTGTGATAATAAATCATGTGTATGATAATATGCATATACACAGTATGATAAAAAGTCTAATATAAATATATAGTTGGATAAACACAAGTAAGAGGGCATATATTTAGAGAGAGGTAGATATATACAGGGTCAGGTATATATATATTTATATCCATATGTAGTAGGATATATATTTGTATATAGGTAGATATAGTAATATATACATGTACATACAAACATATATGAAATATTTACATGTATACTGAAACATATAAAATAATACATTTATAAAATATACACATATATTAGGATAAAACACAAAAGCAATTATGTTAATGTGATTAAGAATAGATTTTGTCATATGAGTGAATAGACACATAAGATTTACAAAGTTAAGGAAAATACTATAATTTTTATTTATATTAGAAATATCAGTATAAAGCAATAATTTATTTTCATCCTTCTAAAGCCATCCTTATGTCCTGTCTGTCCACTGAAATGACCTAGCAGCAGTTATAACCCTGCCTCAATGAACACTCCTTTTTTACATATAATTCTTTAAAACCTCCTTTTATTTTATAAGAGGAATGACATCAAATATATCCTCAAGAACAAATTATGCCACATGGTTGGAAATCTAGAATGCTCTCAGATATGTAGGGAGATGTCGAAGAGCACCTCCTTGAGCGGGGGATTGTGAGCATGGGAGTACACCGCTGCTGCAATCAGCGGTGCCCGGCAGCACACAACCAGAAACCACGACGCCAGTAACTGGGCATTTCCCATGATCCTCACTGTGCCGGGTTCTTAAGGTACATCAGTTCAAAGCTCACAACTACCCTCTATGTAGATACCATTGAGATCTCTCGGTCATAGGTGACAAATGCTGCAGCACAGAGAGGAAAGCAATGGCCAACCTGGGCTCCCGCCAGGAAGTCTAGTCCCCACGGCCATGCTCTCAGCCACAGCACACGACACTGTCCTGCCCAGGGAGTCACAATCGCTTCAGTATTTTAGAGAGGAAAAGCCGTGGGTCATGTTCATTACTGCCCTTATTCCTCCACCCCAGTGCTAAGGAGGCGTAACTGACAAATAAAACTGTACATATTTAAAGTGTACAGCATGGTGATTTGATGTATATATGCATTTAGAAATGGTTACCATCAACAAATTAGTTAACATAGGCATCATCTCCCACAGTTATCTTTTTCTTTGTTTTGTGGTGAGAATGTCAGATCTGCTTTAGCAAATGTCAAATGTACAATAGAGTATTATTAACTCTAGACATCATGCTGTGCCATTAGATCCCTCAGATTCATTCATCTTATAAACTCAGATTTGTGCACTTTGACTAGCATTTCTCCATTTGCCCCACCCTACATCCCTGGCAACAGCTATTCTACTCTCTGCTTCTTTAAGTTCAACTTTCTAAAATTCCACATATAAGTGAGATCATGCATGTTTTTGTCTTTCTGTACTTGGCTTATTTCACTTTGCATCATGCCCACCTGGTTTACCTATGTTGTCAAAAACCGCAGAGTTTCCTTTTTATGGCTGAATAATATTCTATTTTATATATAACATTTTTTTTATCCATTCATCCATCATGTCTTGGAACAACCTAAGTGATTAAGAGGTGTAAATAATACTACAATAAACATGAGAGTGCAGCTATTTCTTTTAGATACTAAATTCATTTCCTTCAGATGTAGACTCAGTAGTAAGATCACTGGATCATATGGTACTTTTATTTTTAATTTTTTGAGAGACTTCTATGCTGATTTTCATAATGGCTGTACTAATTTATATTCCCACCAACAGCATATGAGAGTTCTCTTTTCTCCACATCCTCACCAAAAAGAAAATTCTTTCATCTTAACAGGTGGGAGGCAACATCCCACTGTAGTTTTGATTTTTATGTTCCCGATGATTAGTGATGCTGAGCACCTTTCTATGTGCCTTTTGGCCATTTGTACGTCTTGTTTGGAAAAATGTCCTTTGCCCATTTTTTAATTGGCTGATTTCTTTTTTGGTATTGAGTTGTATATATTTCTTAAATATTTTGCTTATTAAACCCTTATAAGACATATCATTTGCAAATATTTTCTCTCATTATGTAGGTTGCATTTTTATTGTGTTGATTATTTCCTTTACTGCATGAAATGTTTTAGTTTCATATAGTCCCAGTTATTTATTTTTGCTTTTGTAGTCTGTGCTTTTGATGTCTTAGTCTATTTCTTGTTGCTTCAAAAAGAATACCTGAAACTGGGTAAATTGTAAGGAAAATAAATGTATTTCTTTTTTTTTTATTTCAGCATAATATGGGGGTACAAATGTTAAGGTTACATACATTGCTCTTGCCTTCCCTCCCTCCTCGAGTCAGAGCTTCAAGCATATCCACATCTGATAAAGGT